TTCTGCGCATGATACACTCAGTCTCTCTCTTAGAAATCGTAATTTTGGTGATATTGACTCGACTTACCTCACGATAATGTCTTACGAGTTACTTATGATTGTACGAAAATTTTAATGCATCTTTTCCTTCTACAAGACGTTTGGTTTCGTCGTCATCTACCAAATGAATCCAGTTGGCTCCCGCTGTAATCGTGTTGTTTGCAAATTTCGAGGCATGTATTCTGCCTCCAGTAAAATTCTCTCTCTTGATAATCAGAATGTCGGTCATTATATTTCTGTTCGGTGGCGTTTTCGCTGCTCTAATTCTAGTTAGTCCGGCGCTAAGGATAAGGACTTAAATTTATTTATTTTTGGTGAAAACAAGATCTGTCCATTAGAAACAGAAAACCCAAAAAAAGGATGACTCTAAAGGCGACGTGCATCCTGTAAATAAGCAAACTTCAGCTCAAGGGACATGTTTATTTTCAACTTTTTAGACCTAAGTTCATAATAACAGCGCTTAATTGGTTAAAAGCTGATAACCCCTTATATAAAGATATTCAAATTGATTGTGGAAATATTGATGTACAACTGACAGATATGACACACAATGAGAATGACGACACTACAGTTTGTAAAAAACTCTCCACCAGCAAACCATTCAAGCAATACAGTATATACTTTTCGCATATGACACTATATTTGTTTCAGATACGTTAAAATAAAAGATTTCATGATTCATGTCTACGAATTTGATGTGTGCAGATTTAATATCTATTGATGACGACACCTTGGCACAGTGATTACTGTTTCTCGAGGTCTTTAATTTGCTGTCACATATGACACTGACACTTGACTTTTTTAATACATTGTTTTACGAAGATGTTAACAGATGTAATTAGTATCTATTAACGAAAATACCTGTTTCAGGTATTTACACAAGATCTTGTTTTGTTCTTCTAATATTATGCTGGAGTCAGATCCTGTTTAAAATTTAAATATTAGTTAAAATTACCGTTTTCCTAGGTAATAAATTAAAGTTGAAATACATGAGTTTCAAATTATAAAGTGCAAGATTATAACTTCGCCGGGTGGGTAATCATACATTACAATACATTTCATTGTCCATTCAAGGGACTAGGTTATCCAAGGTGTCCGAGCCAGAGGGTCAAACTATCTCTGGATGTGAATAACCTAAAAATGACATGGAAACGTCTTTTCATTCATTTTTATTCTTCTTAAGTAAAGACACGTGGAAACAGAGTAATTTAAAAGCTACAATTAATTTTTGAAAAAAAAAAAATCTAAACTCAAACTATGCGACGTTAAAAGAAAATCCGCGTAAAATGATTAGCGAGAGAAGAAGCAATTACGTCTCGCCCTAGCTTTACGAGCAAGAATGAAGTATTATAGGTTTTTTTTAAAGTATTAAATATGCAAATCCGATCTTGTCTCGTGAGTATAAAACACTTTCACAGCTCTATATCAGTTGTTGCAGTTTTGCCATTAACATCAGAGGCAACAAACATAATCTTCACTTGAACATAACAATCAGGTTTCTCTGAAAAGAAGAAGCCCGAGTACACGCAGATATGCGTCTAGTTCAGTTAGGAGTTGTTTGAGCAGGTGAATTGTTTCTGTCATTCTTATTGATTAACATATTGGAACATGCTTAGCTTAATTAACCATTTACTATTAACATATTGTTTTAATGCTGTTAAAGACACTCTAAAATTTTGCTGCATGTGGAGGTTTCTTTTTGTATATTTTCCATACAGTTACATACACGTTTACAGCGTCATGTGGGATTATTTTTTGAATTAACCTTTTTAAGTCAATCGACATTCACATCCTTTTGTTGTTTTTATAAATTTTAATTTTATTGCTGACGCAAAACTATTCATTAACATTTTCTTAATCTTAATGTAAACCAACAGGACAGCTGAAAAGCTGAAACAATGATGCAGCTCTAGAAGTGACTGAATTAGCCGGTTAAACCAAGTTAAATGTAGAAAATCCTCACGTTTAATTCTCTCCATCAAAAGAATCGATTTAAGCACGCGAAGTCGTCAATTTTTCAGATGTCAAAAACTACATAACTGTGCGTGGAAAAATTTTTTAAAAACGCAAGGCCAGCAGGAGTTCGTACGTGTCATGCAGAATTTGTCTTGTGATATATTGGTGTTGCAGTTTTTCCCCTCAATTACCGAAGTTGAAGATCTTCGTTCGACGTACATCACTAATTGTGTGTTCAACATTTTGCTCTGCCACACTGCAGTCATGATGAACATTGCAGCAATCTATGCGATTAAAAAGACGTCATGTTTACCGAAGACTCTGGAAACTCTCCTTCTGAGTCTTGCTGCATCAGATGTTGGTGTGGGCTTATTGAGTCAGCCTTTCTACACCTGGCTCCTTGTCAAGGGATTATCCAAAGCTATCCCCAATTGTAGCACGTACATGGTTTTCGATGCGATAATCGGCATGTTCACGATAACGTCTTTCTTGGGCGTGTTGGCTGTAAGTGCAGACAGATTCCTAGCAATCCATCTTCATCTCAGATACCAGGAGCTTGTGACTCACAAGCGTGTTGTTACCTCAGTGGCTTCTTTATGGTTGGCGAGTGTGAGTGTTTCTGTAATAGTACTCTGGCTTTCGCCCCATGTGAAGTACCTAATCATGTGTGTAGGAGGCCTCGTTGGTCTTTTTCTTACAACGATTGCTTACAGTAAGATTTATCTAACCGTGCGTCGACTTAAAAATGATATCGAAGGTGGCGAAGTGCGACAAGAAGCGTATAATGGAGAGGGGGCCAATTTTGCGAACGTCCTTAAAACTACTGTGGGCATATTTTACGTATATGTCGTATTTTGGGCGTGTTATGCGCCTTTTTTCATCTCCACGTCGTCTATGATAATCTATGGCCGTACCACTCCCTTGAAGGGATTTTTTGTTTGGTCACTAACCCTTGCATATCTCAACTCGACTTTGAATCCTGTGATATACTGCTGGAAGATGAGGCACATTCGAAACGCCATTATGGACACGCTACGAGGGGTATGCTCGGTCAGAAATCAAGGAGCTTCACCCCAATCATTGCGAGCCATACGAATCGAGAGCGTGGTAAATAACGCAGTGGCTGACAAGCACACGCAATGTGATAAATCTTTGAAACCACCTGCATGAGAAGATCGCGGTGTGTACGTGCCCTTGAGTTTAGGTCAAGGAGGAAGGTCACATATTGCCTAACAGACAGAAAGCACTTTTGCATTTCTGAAAGACATTACTCGTAACAATAGCGTGTTACCCGATGCCGTCAGTCAATATCACGTACAAATGCTTTGAGAATTCTAATTGCGCGATATTGGACGGAAAGGACTAGAGAGTGAAGAACTCCGATAAACAACATAAAAACCGGTAGCTGTTATATATTTTTAAGGACATAGAGTCACCCCACTAGACTTACTGACTTTCGCTCTATGGGCGATCTATATATATGTAGTGTGAATATTCTCGGAAAATTTTCGTTTTCGAGTAGTTTCCCTTTATCTTAATCTTTCGGTTTTAAAAATAATTTTTATCAGTGTTGTGGTTTCTAACAAACCGCACGCTTTTAGTCTCGCTTTCTAAAACCGCTGTCACTCGAAATTCGTGAACCTCAACTAAAAATCTTTTCCCGTTTCTTTCGACGGATTTGGAAAAGGATGTCTCGAGTAAATCGGAATGCGAAGGATAAAAAATTTAAGCGATAATTTTTCCCATGCGGATTTTCTACTTTGACAAAAGATACCAAATAGTGAATTTTAACGACAGTTCATTTTGAGGGATGTTTTGTTTTCGGCAACATATTTTTGCGTATCAAGGACAATCCACGAAAATTAAATCTTAAGAAAGTTTCGTACAAAATTAATAAGAAACCTTCATTTTGATATAAGTTGATACGGCTGGTAAATTGACGGCACTCGAGAGGACGTGCTTGGAATTCATTGATGCTGACGAGCACATCAATTTGTATTGTAACTTAGCGTTTAGCAACCCTGTTTACAAAAATCAGCACTGGACAAAAGAAGCCGGAGAGAATGGAAAATCGTAAACCAAGGAATAGAGGACTCGATTGTATTTCAACAAGACTTGTTTGATAATGGCAAAAACGACCAGCGTATATTGTCGATAAGACAAAAACAGATTACTAAAATCTATCAAGTACAATTCCTGGTTTTTACGTGACGCCACAACCATTAAAAACTCAAAACAGTTAGAAGAAATAATTTTTTTTTTTAACATAGAAAGAAAAAAAATCATTTTAGTTAAATTTTGTATTAAGATTTTAGCTCAATAGTGGGTTCGTTTTATAAAAATGCCATTTCTAATTTCCTGATGAAACCTGAACAGCTGTCACATTGTTTAAGAAAATTAACCTAAGGTGTGCTATAACGATTTGTTCCCTCATAGAATAAATATTAGCAAATGCGTTTTGTTCGACGTTAAGCAATTAGTCCCTTCCTTGGCGAAATCCAAAAAAAGGTGTCAAATATCATGGCCTTTCCACACTCATTCGTGTGGGCGGGAGGAGGGTAGTGGGAGGGGTTAATTTAACGGTTTTCCCTGTAAATCTAAACTGACATGTGGGCTCGAAAAAACGGTGAGGCGAGGGGGAAGTGGGTAAGGGCTGAGAAATGCTCTTGTGACGCGCTTCCGGTCGCTCGCCCGGCCCTTCGCATAGCTTTTGCCAGGCTCTCACTTGAAGAAGGCGAGCGAAAAATGTGTTGGTCAGGGAAACAGCTGGGTTTTGCTCCGCACTCCCACTAATTTAACAAATATCATCTTCTTTTGCCTCCTTTTTACTCGTCTTCGCTGACTGACACAAGCTACTTTTCCTCATGTTTGCCCGTAGTTCGCGTGTCTTGCGTGCAAGAGATTGCCGCGGGGTGCCGTTTGTGTCGATGACTCGTCATTCGAACTCATGTGTCCGAAAAATGTGCATATGAAATTACCGTAATCACAAGGGTGGGCACGAGCGAGAAGCAAGTTAGTTTAAGCCGGACGTGAAAGATTTCCCGTAGATTCCCGGACCTCCTAAATCTTCTAAATCCAGGTTTTCATTCGGTATTTGCGCCCCAGGTTTTTAGGACACACGATCGGGTTATGCAGGAGGCATGGCACCTAAGCTATATTTTACCATCGATTGTCATTTGTTTATGAGATGCGGTAAATGTTTTATAGTACTGTATCGTAGCACGCTGTTTGAAGTTTGTTAGTGTATTTTCTTCTTAACTAGACAACATGATATTGAAAGAGTATAGGATCTGTATGCCGATGACGGTGGAAGAGGTATGTTTTACTTAACCGTCGTAATTTTGAACGTGATGAAATGTCGATCGTCTGTAAGCGAAAAGACACGCGAGACCCAGACGTCAGCCCGAAACCAGGTTAATCGAGGATATCTTCTTGATCAAGTTCAGATTTGTATTTTCAACCGAGATTTCTAGCATTACTCTAATTATATAATAATATGAATTTTTTATACTAGTATGAACTTGAACTTTGACAGCAGGATTTTCTCAACTTGAGCGACTTGCTTTGGATAGGTTTGAAGATCACATAAGCAATTTCGCCGCGCAATAATTTGGGGTCACCGCCAAGTTGTGCGGAAATAAATCGATAATATATATAGCTTTCTGGATTCGGTTACTTGTTATTTGAAAGTTTACAGTCTGCTTTATGGTCGCTAGATCTTCTGTAGAAGCTTGTGAGGTTTCGCTTCGTAATGGACAAAATTACCGATAAAAGTTGCTGTGTTGCGTGCGTTAGGCGGGAATGAAACAAAGTCCAGAAATAGTATCTGCATTTGAGGATTGTTTCAGATAAATGAACTTTTAGAGTTGCCCTTAAAGCTAGATTAAAATCGAAATGGATCCGTTGTACTATCTTTTGTGTCGAACTAAAAGCGATATTTGTGCTAATAACAGCCGAAGGGCTCGGTGCTATTCGAATGACCACGAAATATGCGTGATTCTCTTTTTTTTTTGTCTTTCTTGTATTTCTTAGAAAGCGAAAAGCTCAACTCTAATTTGTGAATTAATGTGTAAATATCCTTTTCGGACTTTTGGATTAAAAAATTTGTGCAATATCTTTATTTTTAACCCTAATTTGCAAGTTTTCTTAATGGAGTGAAGTGTTTGATGAAAGCCCCTCCTTATCTCGAGTTTCAGGTAATTTAACTTTTGTTGATTAGTAATTTCCTGGATGAAAATATTATCAATTTCCGAGCAATAATATCATTTTCGATCGTTAAATTTAATACAAAATATATTGCATGCAAATTTGTTTTAACACGCTTGACAAATTTTTTTATTAAATTTTATGAAACGTTTCCAAAATATCTTAGAGAACAAATCTGTGTTATCATTTTATCAATTAAGTTTTTTCTTTAGAAATGTTACTTCTCTTTTAATTTGCATGTGTTATCTTTCATGTAAGTCTTGGGCAGTGATTGTGATCGATAAAAGTCTGTTATTGCTTCTATTTTACCTAACAACAATAGCTTTACAAGCTGGGCTGTTTTTTCTCAACATCCATTAATTACAGCATTGGAAGGTAACAACCAAATCTCATCAACCGATTGTTGAGTGAAAAGAATTTCCACACAACCATAATTGTATCAGTTCAAATATGCATGTACAGCCTATCAAATGTTTTCCTTTTCATTCTAATAACTTACAACAAACCAACTGGGACTGAAAACAAAGGAGACATTTTCAATTTTTTAATATTTAATTCATGCTGTATAATAGAGTTTGCTTTGTTATGGTTAGCATTACTGAACTTTGTAAACAACTCAAACAAGTGACTACAAAAGATCTGTTAATCCCTTAAAATTAAATGTTGAGCTTAGTTTCCAAATTGATGGTTTTTTAACTTTCTTTCATTTCTTTCACAAATCATAGAAAAATTAAAAAAATATCCAAACACTTTATTGGCACTGCAACTGAAAAGTTTACTAAAAAACTGGAAAAAAAAACACTTGTTTCTTCTTTAGATGTCATATTCATCTCAGCTGATGTGAAAATTGTTTGTTTTTCACAAATAACTTTTCTATGATGTGCCAAAATAGAGTATGTTTATGCAAATGAAACTTAATAAATATTGAAAGTGAATGTCAATAAATATTTTATATCAACTTTTGTATAGATAAACAGTTGTGAAACAAGTTTCTCTGTTGGTTTCCAGTGCTTTTAAGTTTACCAAAACATCTAATATAAACATAACTTGAAAAATTTGCTGCAGAAGTTTTAACAATGTAAGGGGGAAGTATCATTTTTATGAAATAAAATATGCTATTCTTCAGAATATCCATTCTTTTGGGTTTCAGATTCCCCTTTGCATTGTCTGATGTTCTGACTTAGTTCATCAGCATATCTTAAAATATCCAGTATTGTTGTTCAAATTAAAGTCTTTGGTAGGGATGGTTTTTGAGTTTTTTCTTCTCACCATGGTGACCAAATGGTTGCACCATTGAGCACTGACCACAAGCATGATTAGCACCCAGTTGTGCTTGATGGCTTGCCTATGTGGTTTAGACTGCTGGGTTTGCAAACCCTCTACTTTGAAGCTTAAATGGATATGCTTCTTGGAGTACCTGGGATCAATTTATTTGCTGCAGTTTATTAAACAGCAAACTAATTCACATGTCACCAGTTTGGCGTTATGTCAATTATTAAGCTTTACTTCAAGTTGGTAGTCAATACTTTTGAATTTTTATTCAGAGGGTCCTGAGAAGCACACATGATCCTACATGTAAATATATCAACTTATACATTGAACACTAAAAAAGCTAATATTTATTAAAATTTTTATTTATTTATTGCTTATATCCAGTATCAAATAGGTCAACTGTTCATGATAAGTAAACACAGCCATGAACAGAGTGAGCAAGGTGAAGGAGTCCATGTGGTGAAAAATGAGCCCTGTGAGGACCCAAAGTTTGGAAAGGGACAATTCACAGAAAAGAGAGTTTATTTATCCAGGTACAGGTTATAGCAGATTTAATGTAATTGCAGTGTGGAGTTTGAGGGTTATTTTGTTAGGGTTTATTCCAAGATTTCACTGTAAGTTATTTTGTGAATTTGTACACCTGTATATGTATATGGAAGATGGTATGTGTTATATTAGACTTCTGTTGTATTGTGGGTATTTCCCTTGTGAAGTTACCTCTAATTGAGAATGTAATTTTAGGAGTGAGGATTGGGTGTTACATTTGTGCCAGTTTACAGAGGTAATTCCTATGCACTATTTAGTCACCAATAATCTTCTGCGGGAGGCTTGGGAACAGAGAGTAATCATCTTGATATCGTGAACCTCCTGATAACATGACCAGCAAGCTGCTGGACAGACTGTTAGTCTGCAGATAATTTATTTAGAGAATCTTAATTAACCTGGGTGTCAAAAAGTTGTCAAAATTCAATTAGTGAAAACAGAATCTGCCGGTAGAATTTGATGGTGCCCACTAGAGAGCTTGCTCACAGCCAACCTGATAACCTGTTTTAACCCTGTTTTAACTTCATAAACAACCCATGTTTAAATGTGTCCAAAGATGAGAGGAATGGGCTCTAGCACCAGGCTGACAGGGCTAGTGTAGAGTGTTGTGAAATAAGCCAAACACCTTACCCTCACAGGGGCATAGCCAGGATTTTTTAAGTGGGGTCACTCTGTGGTAAACAGATGGTACTCATTAGTTTTTACCACTGAATATTGCTGGTTGTTTGTCAAAAAGAAAGGCTTACAACAAGGCTTCCAAAGGGGAGGTCACAGGCACCCAGGAACACCCCCCCCTTCCAGCTATGCCCTTGTCTGAAAATTCTTGGGAGGAATTTCTTAAAACAGCATTGAGTTGTAAGAGGTTGTCAGTTATAAAGGGAAGTTTACTGTTTTCCATTTTTTCTTTTCTTTTTTTTTTCAGTCGTCTTCCTGGATGGATGCGGTCCTATATTCCAAAAATATTCTATGTAGAAGAAAAGGCTTGGAATTATTACCCTTTCACTATTACAGGTCAGTAAAGATTATGAGAGTTTGCCTCAAATATACTAGTTAACCCTTGTACTTGGCTTAGTCGTTTACTCCTGAATGACATACAATTTTTAACCCTGTAACTCCCAAAATCTCATTACTGACAATCTCACTCTGACTGTCTGCCATACAGTTCTTGTGATGTTAGCTTGGAGTATTTGGTATTGGATCTATAATCCCCTAATTGATATTTTTCTTTATTCTCATCACTTCTGTGCTTGATATTGTATTGATATTGTAAGGAGAAATTATGTCTTGGTCCCTCATGGGAGTTAAAAGGGTTAATTAACATGCATCAAACATTGAAGGAAATGATCTCCAACCTCATTTACTTCTCAAGGTCTTTTTTCAATGATGGGTAATAGTTGTTTCTGTGTTTAAGTTTGTATTTTAATAATAATTTCCTCTTCCTTTTCATTCTCCTTCACTCTCTATCAACAGAATATTGTGTGAGTACCCTCTTTTTATTTACTTGAATTACAGTTTTTACATTTCCCATAAGCTTGAAACCAACAGAAGGCTGCCCTGCACAAGAAATGTTTAAGTTATAAGCTGTCTACGTTGAAAAAGTACTAGCCAGGGCAATTTAAAGGACATTTTATCAGAAAAAAAGATGAGGTTTTTCCTTCTATTGTTGAATTACAAGAAATGGAAAGAAAAGTGGAAAAGATCAATGTGATGTATATCAAGTCAGATTATAGTAACCCAACAGCCCCTTAGAAACACCCTCTCTATATGTCCCTGTAACTCTAAAACAAGTAAACTAAATTGTGATGTGTACATACTGTTTAGAGCCGCAAAGTACAAAAAAAATAAGATGGCTTTGAACTGTTTTTACAGATTTGTTTGAATTTTGGAGACAAATATTCCTTGATATGCAGATTACAATCCATCTGGAGCTACCAGACTTATTTTTCAGTTACAGACTGATAAAGCAAAGTGTTAGCATGATAACCTGAGTTTGTTAGAGAAATATAATGATCACAGCTTTTCATTTGATAGTTAGGCATCTGTGGTCTCTTAGAGACCAGTTTCAAGAAATTAGACAAAACAGAGGAATTGATCTCTGACAATTACATAATCTTTTGTTGTTTCTCTATGCAGTGCTCCTTTCTTCCAAGATTTTCAATTAGGATTAAAACGAAATATTTCAATGATAATGGAAGTATAGACAACGTAAGTAAATTCTTAACTAAGACTTTCTTTAGTTATCATTTTAAACTTTAAGTTATGTATAATAAATACTAAAGACTGAGTTTTAAACTGATCACCGAGATGAAATACACTGTCACAATGATGACAATTAAGTTTTCACATCTCAACAAGTTTTTTGTATCTCATTCAAATTGATTTTGATATACTGGTCACATAGACTGTACTTGTGAAATAGTTCTGACATTGGTTTTTTTCCACTTAAAATGTTAATAGTTATTTGCATTGATTTAACATTGTATGTGACCTTTCTTTTTTTTTTCAAAATATGATTGGTTGTATCTTTCTTGCAGTGTTTTGAATTAGATGAGGAAACACTTGAAACAAGGGAAGTTGTGGCAATTGATATAGCTTATGATGAATTACCAGAAAAACATTATGTTCCAGAAGAGGTAAGTCATATGCTTAACTATAGCATACTTCTGATAAGAGTTTAACATTAAACAACCTCTTGAGAGTACAAAGGTTCAAAAAATAACGAAGAAACTACAATAGATTGAGTGTTAAAATTCTGAGATTAGATCCCTAGACCTTTGTTATGATTTTACACTGAATTTGAAAGCATTAAAATTGGGCCAGTAGTGTACATTGCAGTGTGAAATATTGGCTTCATTACCAACTGAGATGCTAACCATGTGGGTCTTGAGGAAAGCCTCACAGCTCTGACAACAAAAGTGATGGAGAGTTCAAATTGTGTGGAGATTTTGATCAACTTACTTGGATGTTTGTGACATCAGTAATGAAATTTGAAATATTTTTCCTGTTAATCTAGGACTGTAGGTATTTCAAATCAAAGAAAACAGGTAGAGGTCCTTTAAAGGAAGGTTGGAGGGTGAGTGTAGAATATTTTCTTAAATATTTAAATGATATGCACATTCCAACAGTAAATTAAAATTTTTTTTAAATTGATAGAAATTTCCTATTACACTAAAAATAATGGTTGTAAATTCATGAGGTGATGCTTTGCATCACACAGAATTATCAACTAGTTATGCAGCCACATAGTTCTGTTCTTTGCTGATGAGGATGTCCCTTCTAATTGGGGGTGTGAAATGATTTCCTTTAAACCTCTTTGAATTTGTCTTTATATTAACTTACAAAATTGTTTATATTAGAGAACACATCTGTAGAGAAGGAATCGTTGTCATATTTGGACGGTGTTGTACTTTTTCAGTTTTGTTAATGTACAAGTATCGTACATAGATACTTCAGAGTACTCTGTTGTTATGGTGCAACTTACAAAACTAGAAACATGGGCAATAACTACTGAATAATGTAATTATGACATTTTTCCCCTAAACCTCTAAAATATTATTAAAACAGAAACTGTTTGTAATTTTAGGATGATACTCAACCCATCATGTGCTCATATAAAGGTTACATAAGCATATGATCTAGTACAACAAAACTTGAAACATGGGCAATAATTCATGAATAATGTAATCATGTTGTTTTTTCCCCTGAATCTTGTAATATTACTAAAAACAGAAACTGTTTGTAATTATAGGATGATACTCAACCCATCATGTGCTCGTATAAACTAGTTAGTGTTTCTTTTGATGTTTGGGCCTTAGCTTCAAGAGTAGAGTCCTACGTGCATAAGGTGAGGGTCAGTGCTTCTCTTATTCCTGTACCCAAGTAAACAAAGGTGGTAGAAATATTGTGTAATGATTGCTGAATGGTGAATGATGATATTTAAGCAAATTAAAGGTGGACTGTGGTATAAAAAAGGAATTGTATGATGTAGGTAAATAGTGGATAGTTTTTCCTCAGAACCTCTTGCCGATAAAAAACAGTTTTTGATACAGTTTCTGATACTTTTCACCCCTTCGCACAAAAGCTTTAACTCTTTGAAAAAGCTGCATTAGTTGTCACTGTATCCGTCGTGAAATAATTTTTCCAATGCATGAATTACTTGTATGAATTGGAAGTGTTTTGAATTTGTGGGACTGATCATCCCCAACTGTCATGTTTTAGATCAAAGCCCATAGAGCTTCTTGTGGCAGCTATAGATCACTGTGATTGGTTGCCAGGCATGTCTCATTGTAATTAATAATACTTTAGGTAATTAATTTACATAGTACTTCTACAGAAAGGAATTAAGCTGTACTATCTACTGTATTTCGACAGGTTATTCAAGATATTTTATTACTTGGTCACAGACAAGCATTTGCTTGGATTGATGATTGGATTGGTAAGTGTATGTACTTTTAAATAAAAAATTTCTCAAGTGATGAAAGACAAAATTTGTACATGTGCATTATGTAAATTATTCAACTTTCCTGCTTTGCTTTGTTAATTGCCCACTTCTTTACCTCCTGCCTGCCAGCTTAAATTTCTTACACATATTTACACCATTTGTTTGAGTGTTTACTCTGTGCCAGAGTAGCACAGAGATACTAAAATACATCAGCTCAAAGTAATGCCAGTTGTAGTATTGCAATGTACATTATAGAACGTAGGTAGGGACAATTCTGAGATGTGGTGGCTTTAACGCTAATGTGTTGACTGTAAGGCCTGTGATGTAGCATTATTTTAAACCAAACTGTACTGACCAAAAAGGTGTAGTGAGTGTCAGGAATGAAAAAAAAAAAAAACAAAAAAAAACGTTTGTGCATAAGCTCCCTATTAATAATTTAATTACACTTCAAGGTATGACCATTGATGATGTAAGAACATATGAGAAAGAAATGCAGGAGAAGACAAACACCAAAGTTGGGGCAGATATTTAAACACTGATTGATTTATTTCAAGTGACAAAGGAGTCAAATTTTAAATCAGTGCTTTCTGTAAGATTTGCAGTCATTGACTTTTTCAGTGCAGCACCCACTGTAAACTGGAAACATTTAACAGTTTCAAAGTGAAGAAATTCTAACACCCTGTCTTTCTGTTGGATGTCAAATGTTACTGAAAGCACTGTGTGAGTTGTCATCCTGTAATTTAAGTTTTACTCAACATTATTTTGAACCATTTTTATTTTGTAAATTTAAGTGTCTTTTGTAAGTAAAAGACAAACTCAAACAATACATGAGATTTTTTGGTAGCTTTTTGTATAAAAATATTCTTACAATTTATTTATTCTTTCAGTTCAATAAAAATTTGAGAACTAACAGCAAATTGCTGTTAAATTTGCATGAGTTGAATGTATAATAACACAGCATCAGATTGTCGAATAATCATCTTATAATTACCCCAAAGAAGGGTTGAAGAAAAATGAGTCCCTCGGACAGTAATATTTTAGATTCATTTGGTATTTGTATAAAACAAATTTTGAGCACATTCAGAAACAAAATAATAGTTTTCTGAAGTTTAGCTATTCAGTAGTTAGCAAGCATTGAATTTTTAACTTCTCAGTTAGTTAAGTAATTTGATGTTATTGCATTCAGTGGATGTATTCCTAAGTGCAGTTTGGCATAACACTGACAGATGAGAGCATCACAAAGTCAGGATATTGGTTGTTTTAATGTATTATGTGCTGATAGAGGACATAGGGATTGAGTATTGTGAAACCAAAACTTATGTAATCACAACATCATAACAGAACAAAGGAAAATAGCACAAGATGAAAATGAGATGTCTCAAAGAAAGACAAGCAAACTTCCTGCAGGGGGGGAGGGGAGTGGGGGGGATTGTGCACGATCAAGTTGTGATTGGTTTATTGTAAGTTTCAAATCTGATTGGTTATAAAAGTGACTCAAGTTTTAAGGACAATTATGGAGGAAAGTAAAACCAAACCAATTCTATCCTGTTTGCTCAATTGGAATATTACTCCATTTGGAACATCATCCTTCCTGAAAGCCGAAGTGTAAGGAAAAATTAATTTGTGAATAGTTATCACAAAAGAATTTAAGGATACTTCATTTATATCTTTTCCATTGTATTTTAAGACATTTTTTTAATCATGTAATTCATCACCATGTTGCAGCTACAGTGGGTTTCCTTTTTGCATATGATGCAACTCATATCCAGCACGCACATACGTATTAGAGTATTTTATACTCCCTTTGTTGTTAAGCAGGCACCTGAAGCTACTTTAACAAGCTCTTGTCATTATAACATTGTTATGTTAGTTCTACCAAAAATTATTAGGGATGATTATTAATAGGTATTGAAACCTCTGTGATTACGACTTTCTTTAATCATCAGCTTTTCAGTTGTTAGATTAGTTGTGAAGCCTTAGAACAGGAGTGAGACTAAGGTTGATCTTGTCATGAAAGAGACAAGAAAGTATTAGAGGTTTGTTTCATGAAAAGGTCACCCTTAGCTTCACTCTGTGCAAAAGTCTAACAGCTAAGCACACAACTGGAAAGTGAATTATTCCTTAAGTGAAAACTATCTCTCTCAATTATTTCACTAATGATACCTCATTCCAATTTGATATTGTTTACATGATGACTTATGTCATTTGCGAATGAAGTTGGTCTATTGGTGCACACTTACAATTATTTCAGTATGTGAATATTGGAAAGAAAATGCTGCATTATGGATGTGGCATGTAACTCCATCATACATACTGCTGGATTGTAAGATGTCCTTCTTTAGTGGGGCTTTGAAGATCTGCATGCAAAATTATTTTTGCCAAGTAAATAAATTTTAAGTCTGGTAGTTAATGGATGGTTTTATTTTTAAATCACACAGCAGTCTACCTAGTTTTTGAATTGATTTTAAATTGTTGGTTATGATTGTAACAGAGTGACTTTTTAATAAAAAAATTCATTCAATCAAGTGATCAATTGTTTTGTAATAATAAGAATTGTTTTAAGAAAAAACTCTATTTCTTATGTATCCTTTAAAGAAAAAATTTTATCGAAGTCCTCTATGGAAAGAACAATCCTTTTAAATTGGCCTTGCTCCCAGCATGTAGCTTGGTGGCTCTGTCAGTTGGAGTGTACAACAGGTATCTGGGAGGCATTGATTCATATCCTGTCAAAGCCTGAATTTTTACAGGCTTCTTTTCTATAATAGCTCAACCCTTTAACTCCCAAGATCTGATTGTTTATTCTCCCCTCTTGCTACTACACATTACCTTGTTTATTAGTTATGAGAATTTGGTGTTGGATCAAGATGACATCTGCCAGATAATTTTGTGTATTCGTAATACCTGTTTGTTGGATAATGTATGGACATTTTGGGAGAAGTTGCATGTTTATCACTTCTGGGAGTTGAAGGGTTAAATTGCAGCTCACCTGCAAGAATAATTTCTTTACTTGAACTTCATTTTGGATGTACTTCTTTTCTCAAACATACATTGAGTCAGTAAGGGATCCTCTCTACTGGTCAATTTTCCAAGTGTAACTGATAATTCTTGGAGCAGTTCATAATAAATAGTTTGAACCCAGGATTAGCAGTCAATTGTAAACACAAATGTAAACTGGTGGATTGGATGAGAAATAAACTGTTGTTGGTGACAACGGAAATCACCATTTCATTTGAAGTTGCCATCAGAGTCTTTTCTATGGTTGTTGAAATGTCAGTCACTTTCACAGTCATAGTTTTAATCAGGGCCACTTTAATTGGGACAATAAGATTCTAAGATCATCTTGAATTGTCACCAGCATGAAGTTAGCAACACAAGTGAACTCGTTTACTCCTGTTAACTTTGTCACTCACTGGCCCAAAATGTCCAATGCCAAAGTATTTTATCTATCAACATCATCATCTGAGTGCATGTAAACAGGTTTGGCCTGTTTTCTAATTCGTTCTTGGGTTTTCCGCTCTTTTGTATTTGTTTTTGGAACAGCTGTTGGCGGCATGTGTATCTATAATGTATAACACAAGTAATTTCCCCATTCAGTTGAGTGATATTTCAATTTATAGTAAGTTAAAGTATTTCAGAATAACTTAAGCTAGTCATTTTTGGACTGAAATACAATGATTTAAGTTTTGTAAGGTGAGGCTAGAAATTAAATGCAATTCAAACAACCTCAAATCATTTTATAATTGCTTACAAATTCAAATTTGAATCAGAATAACCCACTTGGCAGTCTTTTTGGGGAAAGTGGTGTCACTCTTCACAGCTTATGGTTATTAGTTGTGTAGATGGTATGGGAATGATCTGCCATGAATGGAGTGTGTTTAAAAGCATTTATAGCACAGTTAAAAAAAAAACTTCCTAAGCATATCAGGCTTACCATTCTAGGATAAGGTGTTCCATAGTGAAGCCCTGAAATACATAGAGTAATGATTCAGTCTAAAATATGTATTTTGCCATCACAATAACTTCTCCTTTAATGCTACTGTATTAACTCTTTTGGAATGTATTTTGTGACTACCCTAACTGACCTTCATAATGAAGGCTATCAGACCATTTCTGAAAGAATGCAACACAATTTTAAAAACTTTTAAGTTACATACCCATCTCAACTCGTGCATTGGCCTCATGGATACAAAGCATTATCTCGTTTGTGTTAGTAATCTGTAAAAGGACAATTATTTCAGCTCCATCTCTAGAACTTAAAGATGTATGTTAATAATCACTTAAACTTTAAGGATCTATTAAAGGTGGTCACAAATTTCTCAAAATGCCAGGTATTTTGCTCTTCTCAGACCACAAACAGCTTCTCTTTTTTCCCTCAAGATCACAACCCCCCTTATTATAGAGGGACACCTATCAAAGTAACCAGTCTTTAGACAGAGCTTCCATGTATTAGCACAATATCATTATTCTCTTGAACAAGACTACTTAATCCAAGAACAGAACATACTATTTCTGATGATCAATTCCAATCAAGAACTTAGGAGAAAAAAGTCTTAGTTAGCTGCTACTAAGTATATGAGGAACAAAGAATGCTGGGTATTTAGTACAGGTACATGCTGGGAAGGCAATCCTCAGTACACTTGGTAACTTTTCTCTTCAACTCTTTTTAAAAGGCCACCTCCTAACTTGCATAAAACTGAAAAGTACCAGATAACCTTGTGATTATTCACAATCACACAATAGTATCTGGACCATAAAAATAACAAACTGCCAAACTGCCTAGCACTCTAAGCTGCAACCAGTTTTGTTTCCATGATGAGTGGAAAATTCTGCCTCATGCAAATATTTCAAATCAATTTAACATGGAGTAGATCAACCCGAAATATTATCTCACCAAAACCACTTTTGAGGGAACATTACATCTTTCAAATATTTCTAATGGGCAGAATTTGGACCGACTCACATACAGTGAAACTTAAGCCTGAAATTTCCGAGCTCCACTCCATATTTACGAATGCTTTCTTATAATTAAACTAAGGTACCAATATAATGGAAATTTCGATAATTCCTCACTCACGTTCTTGTTCTTACGAAATAATTGTCTGGCTTCATCTTTTATGTACTGTCGCTCTGCCTCAGTATCTGCAGGTATTGCGGCTCTCCATTGCCGTGCTACTCGAAATATTCGCCTGTACAGTGCTAAAACTTCTCTTCTTGACATCTGAGTATCACAATCCTGGCAAAACCATTGAGAAGATTCATTACTGGTAACTCATATAGGCGCATCAGAGGCCGCCATTGCATCCATGTTGAGTATTAACCTACAAGGATATACCGCTGCCCGTGTTTTCGTAGTCAGATCTCCGGCTACGGCCAATCAATGACATGTAGCATCTTAGCAAGACCCTAGAGCACAGGATGCTCAAAAGATATTCAGGGGGAGAGGATTGACAAATTCGAGCAGGCATTGAGAAAGGATGAAAAGGTACCTTTCATCAAATTTTTCAGAACAATGCAGACGTCTGCTTGTCTAGTTTATAAAACAATGGGTCTCATGGAAACAAATTCGAATATTCCTTGCCCCGATCATTCTCCTTATATAGACACCTTTGTTGTTCCATTCTTTGAAAGCTTTGAATGTCTAACAATAATGCAACTTCTTCTGCGTGGTTAAATCCATGAAATTCCTAAAGATCTGTCCAAGTTATGCTGAGTTGTCGCCTGCTAACGTCAACAAGCCTCGGGATAATGCTCCTCTCCAAAAGGGAAACCATGGTGATAGAAAATTTAATGATAATGTAAACAATATCTGGCATCTAAGAACCTGTGTTCTCTGGTTGCCTGACAAGGATTTTGAAAACTTGTACTCATAGTTTAACGATCACTCAGAAAATTTAAAATAAATGCACACATCCTTAATTGTACGTTTCTTGAAAATAAGATTCAAAGCCTAATATATAACGCTGACGTAGCTTTACTTAATCTCGGACGACATAACTCTAGTTTAGGGCGACAGAGCTTCGGGCGAGATGACTTTCGAGCGACTTTCTCGATAGTCGTCACCTTCGTGTCTAACTTCGCTACCAATCTCGCGCGGCAGATCAGATGGCCACTCTCCTCAGGGCACCAGGGATTTCTTAGAAAATAAGTTTCTGAGGAAAGACGCTCAATACCTATTTACCTGCTTTTTCTGGGGCTCTTTAGGGAACTAAGAATATTTGCTATGTTATTGTTTTCATTTATTTTGTGGCGATTTTAATGAAATGTACGCCTAAAAGTTCCCCTCGAAATGCCTCGAGTGGAAGAAGTTAAAGCTCGGAGGGAGAGAGTAGCGGCCGACTTCCCAGAGAGGTTAACGAGTACTTCTGCTTTTCAGAAAAGTAACGATGGTGTTAGTATTACATGTGATAATTGTAATATAAACAGCTTCAAAGGTTGTTATTGCGTCGACTGTAAAATGTTTATGTGCCCCAGCTGTTGGACTGCACACGAGACTCTTCAAGTTACGTTTGAAGGACACACAATCATACCAGCAGCGGAGATTCGACCAGAACTTTACGAGGTCTTATTGAAGCGCGAAAATTTCTGCTTGGAGAATTACCACTTGCAGTCAACAACAATCTATTTCTGCCTGAATTGTCAGTCTTGCATTTGCTTTTTCTGCTCCGTGACGACATACCAGGAACATGAACTTTTGGCTCTCGACGAGGCAGCTGACATCGAAGTGGAGAGAATTATTACGAACATTGAGCTAGCTAGAGGAAAAGAAAACGTGTTGATCGATGCGATCGAGCAGTTTGAAAAAAGTATCGAAGAGTTAGAAATCAATGCTGAAATCGCTAATCATGGAGTCTGTGAGGCAGCCGAAGAAATAATTTCAGGCATTCGAGAACGAGCGCTTGAAACGCATGCATCCTTCGTTACAACACACGCAATTGAACAAGCGAAAATAAACATTGCAAACGAAAAAATGCTAACCCTGTCCAAATGCGACGAAACAACTCCAGCGTCGACAATCCACGCTACAGTCGACAAACGTAGAGCCTTACGAGAAGTTGGGAAATGTCAACAAATAATTGTAGAAAGTCAAGAACGTCAGCGTGAGGCAGTCGAATATCTAGAATACATTGAGAATACGCACGTTATAAGACTTGAGAAAATTGTTGATGCTAAAAGAAAAGCGAAATCACTGGTGGAACAAGTGGATCGAACTGTTGACTTTGTGGAAAAAGTGGTTCTGTATGGTTCAAGTTCATACATTATGCAAAATCGAAAAAATTTGTATAAAAGAGTTAAAGATCTTTGCGAAACTGAAGTTCCACAACATCGCGAAACCTCTTATATTAAATTTACGGCAGCAAGTGAGGCGGGCCAAAGACTGGGTTACATCTTAACTGAGGAGATAGATCTGAGTCTGACCACTTTGGAAGGACTGGATGAAACTCTTGAGGCTGGCGTAAAGGCAGTGATGACATTATGTCCAAAAACGACCGAGGGTGACACAATTAACCAGCCAGACCTAAAGGGTCTTGTAGAAGTATTGATTGAACCTGCACCGGAAGTGGCGGATTTGGCTATTAGCAACAAAAAAGATGGGAAGCTTGAAATACATTTTACGCCGAAGGTGCCAGGTACCTACAGCATTGAAGTTAAAATTAGTGGTGACAGACTTCTTATTTGCCCTGTTAGTGTAAAGGTGACAGAAAATGAAATGGGTGAGTTTTACTATCGATGTATTAAGTAGAAGAGTAAGTCTTGGTATTTAGGCATTCGAACTTTACGGTGAATCGAACATAATTGGACAATTCATTTTCTTCAAGTTCGGTTACTGATCCAATTGAGCTAAATTAATTATTAATAACAAAACTAATCTAAATAAGGGCTATAACTAAATCGAACACAAGTAATTTATTTCTGCGATTTCTAAGCGCAAAATTGCGTGTGCATATTCTACCTACAGTATAAAATCACCGACAAATCTTGTTTTTTTTCTGAAGGGTTGATCTTAAACGTTGAGTGGTGTTCAGGGAAGCGACTGGCGACACAAAAATAGGTCGTTTGACATGCAATTGTGAGAATTCTAAAAGGGCGGTCTTGGGACTGAATAACTCTCTGAAAGTCCAACGATCACTCTAATCTTAGAGGAGCAGTCTCTGTGATGATTTAATAGTTGAAGGCTTCATGAGAGATTTATCGTTTTATTTCAGCTTATCTGTTTCGTGCGATCAAAAGGTGATCACACTCATCAAGCAATGCAAATGATCGGAGCATTCAGTTCAACGCTTGCGGTACAACTGACATACACGGTTGTTGTGGCGGCTTAAGTTCTTAAGTATATGATAATTTGTATTCAGGGCGCAAACTCGGTAATTCGATAGGTTGAGGATTCTTAGGTGTCTCTTGCAGATTATTGCAGACTTTTCGCGAGAAACACATTCACATTTCTTGCTAATATTGGGCGATCCTCTCTTGCTAAGATCTTCAACTGACCCGGATCAAGCTGAAACACTACCGGTAACCTAATTAATGAACTGATCACTTTTTAGTTATGCCACATAACATAAGCACCAAAAAGGCAATAAAAGCAACCCTTGGCTTAATTACCGGTAAGGTCGCTGCAACCGGAATTCGTTCTAATTGCTCACAGTTAATAATAGTTTTGTTTTGATTTTGATATTTCTCTCTGTTTGAGCTTCAGCTCTGAACACTCGACTATTTTCCAAGACAGAGATTAAGAGGGAGATTTTCAAGTAAGTATGTTTGCTTATGATGTAATTACGAAGTGAAAACTGAGGATATTAGATATATTTTAAGGTCGGCTCTCTGCAAATTCAATCTTTGGGTTTTTCCCGAGTTACGAGTGACATGTGCTTTCGTTAATAATGGCCATCGATTGAATAACTAGCCTGGCTGTTTTTTTGTATTTCCGTCCATAGTATTATTTTCACTCTTTAACTCAAGTCTGACAACAGGATCTAAAAATTTTCAGAGAAACGATCACAGAGAGAGGAGAGGTAAAAATGTTAAAAGAGCTTCCTGGTTGTTTTTCATTTGCATGCCGTGCTGTGAGGAAACCTACGGAGGTCATATGCTCATTATGGAGTCCAAGAATCCGATCACCATCTCTTGGACCAAATGAGATCATAGTAAGCAGTGTTGTAGAGCTTTCCCTGAATGAACGGCCATCGACTTCTAAAGACATGAAAGAATTCCACGGAAAAGTGATGATAGCTATATCACACAGTGCAACTGACCTGAAAGGCTATGAACTGGTAGTAAAAAAATTGA